GTAAAGCAGATGGTGAGGATTTGGCTGTGCATGTGGCATGTGAGGTTTGTATGTTTGTATGTGCATGATTTGTGTGCTGCCTGCATACACCTGACCGACCAATGCATTCGTATGCATTGCTTGAGACTGGATCACTGGCATTTCCAAACCTCTGTCCAGAACTCAATTCATCTGTCTTCCTTTGTATGTAAAAATATTGTATTTAAACCTGTAGCAAAGCTACCTCCAAAGTGCTAATAAATAATATATGCAAAGTTTTTTTTTTTCTTATCAATATAAAGAAATGTGGAGTTGCGAGGCTGGTGAAAACCTGCATTAGACAATGTAATGAAGCAGGAATTAGAACAGCGTAGCTCCTCTGGCCATTATAAATGAGGACGGCAGCTACCTGGAGAATGGGAAAACTGATGAGTACAGTCTGTTGGGGAGAGCAGGAGGAAAATTTCCCTCAGGAACACATTTCAAATTACTTATTTATGAACTGATGAACTGGGAGACCACCTATGGAGACATCGGTGTAAGCAGTCTGCTGCAGACAGCTACAGAGCTCCAGTTAATTGTGAGGCTGTTTTGTGTTAGAACTCCTGCTCTCCAGCTGGGCTTTGGAGGCAGGAAATTTAGGCTCTGACTAGAAGTTACACTTTTCCTCTTTCTTGTCTGCATCCATGTATACATGCATATTTTAATCCAGTTGAATCATTTGTGAGGGCCTGGGAAAAAGCTGCTACACTTGACCTGCAGGTGGGGTAGGGGGCTGGACCCGGGAGAAGGTTTGGTGTTGGAAGGTTTGTAGGTTTGTCAGTTCTCATAAGGCTATTGGATCAGGTCATGGACAGCTGTGTCTTCCTTCTCCTCCTCCTCCCCTTCCTGGTCAGCGTCTTCCTCTCCCTGCTCCACACCTTCATTGCCATGGTGACAGAGTAGCTGAGTGCTTCCTGTGAGCTGGGCTCTCTGTGGTGTTTTACATGAATGATCTCATTTTATTCTCATAAGATCCCTGGAAAGTGATACCATTGTTTTCCCCATCGTGGAGGTGAATAAACAGATGGATGAGAGAATTGACATGACTGTTTCCGGGCCATGAGCCCAAGTTCTTAGGCCCGTAGAACTCAGACCCCTAAATGGCTCCTGGATGATTGTGAATGTTCACCAGGAAGGAAACAGCAGGGGGGAGGTTGTGCTGTGAACTTCCTGCCTGTGCTTGAGGCTGTGTGTGGTGAGGCAGTTGGGTGATTTGCATGTCATTGAGATTGGGGTAGGCCATGCTTAAGAACCAAATCCCTTATGGATTTTCATTCTTTTTTCTTTTGCTTATGGCACTGGGGATGGAACTCAGGGCCTTGCACTAGCTAGGTAGGCAAGTGCTGTACCACTGAGCTAAATCCCCCAGTCTCCTGCTTAGGGATTTTTATTACCTCCATTTTAGAGATAAAGTAACAATGGGAAAGTGAAGAAAACTTGCCCTAAGTCATACACCTAAGTGACACAGAGAGGGTGTGAACTGAATCAGAGCTGTGTACACCTACCTCACCTTCTTGAAGCTGATTCTGAATCTTATCCAACATTTAATTCTTAGTACTTAGCAAGATATCTGCCAAAACCCATCCTCAATATATACTTGTTGCAAATTTGAGGAGTTCACGGAGCTTTTGCAAAGATCCTCATTCATTGGAAAAGACCACAGTAATATTAGCATGTAATACATATTGCCTGTCCAGCTGTGTGTCAGCTCCTATACCACCCAGGGCATGGTCATCATCTCACTCAAACCCGAGAACCTGATGAAGCAGGTTCTAGGTGCTCTGTTGCTCATAGAGGTCAAGTCACTGATTTTTCCAGTGGGGGCAGTTTTACTCACCCCTCTTCCCAAGAGATAACAGGCAAAGTCTGAAGACATTTTTGGTTGTCACAGCTGGAGGGTGAGGCATATAGATAGGCAAATATCCTACAATTCACAGGACATTTTCCCATGACAATGATGCAGCCCAAGCTGTCAGTATTGCCCAGGGTAAGATGATGATCTGAGCAGAGTTCTTACACTCCAGGGACTGTGTGCCTACCTTCTCTTGGACCACTCTGCCCGTCCTTCTCTTCTTGGGGGAGCCTGTGGTTTGCCTGAGGACAGTTACAAAATGAGTCATGGAGCCATAAGTGACTTGGGTGAACAAGTGAGGTGCCTTTGATATGGGTCACTACACAAAGGGAATTCTTCATCTCTTCTTGACAACTGGGTCTGACCATACCAGATCAGGAAGTGTGCATGGCCGGATGGAGCCATCACCTGGACTTGGTCCAAAGACTAGAGATTTGGAGTATCCCAGGTTCCAGGCTAACTTCAACAGTTCCTGGCGTGTCACCTCTGGAAACGTGTCACCTCACTTTTGGAACCTCCATGGCTTTAGCTATGGAATGGAGAAACCTCTGTTCTGTCCGAATCTCAAAACTGTTTATGAAAATTGTGTGAGGAGATGGCCTCCAAGCACTGCAAAGAAGTTAAAGGGCTTCCCATCTACCCCCTGGAACTCTCTTCATTGCATCCACAGATGTGTAATAACAGCAGGGGCAGTGTACATTCTATTATGAAGTACTTACATTTTGCAAGATACTAAGGAGTAAAAAATGTTCATCTCATTGAGTCTTTGAAACTATCCCAAGAGGAAGGTACTAAATTAGTAGGGCTACACACTCAGTTCAATATTTGGATATTCAACATCTAGAAATTCTTAACTATATTTGAATAAGGAGCTCAATGTTTTCATTTTACAACAGTCCTAGCAAATTTTGTAATTGGATTCATCCTTTAGACATGTTTTTCTGTAGCCGAGAGTATAATAAACCCTCAGCACTGAATCTGTCAGAAATGGCCTCAAGCCCTTCTGGGATCAGAGGTATAAAAGTTTTAAAAGTTGATCTGAACATTTTCTAGTCTTCTTTTCCTTATGAAAAGAAGAAATGACATTTATAAGACTTATCAACTAGTCCTATTTGCACATTGATCAGTAGAGAGAGTAAGCAACTAGACTAGAGCAAGAAAATAACAAAGAACTGGGTAAAGTCAGGCTCTGCATTGAAAGGCATCTCAACAAAAGTAACAGTAATAATAACAGAATCATCATAATGATAATGAGGATGAGAATAAAAAGAGAACCAGAAAAAAAAAAAAACCTGTCTTTGAGTTCTCCCCGTGCAGAGCCCTGTGGCAAGTGTTTACATGCATGATCTCATATAACCCGCATAATAATCCACGTGGTCTTCACTGTTATGGTCCTACCTTACAGATGTTAAAACCTTGGCTGACTGGCATTAAGTGACTTCCTCACCACATCAGACAGCCTGAGATGGCATCCCAGCTCTATTTGTTGGCTGTAATGACTTGAGCAAGTAATGCAACCATGCCTCACTTTCCTTGTGTGTAGATGGGAATATAACTTCCTTTATGGAGTTGTTATAAAATTTGAATTAGGTAATGTAATCTGGAATGGAAGAGGAAGGGCCTTGACCATTTTGCTTACTGCTATATATAATGTTTTAAAACAGTGCTTGGGACATAGTTGGTGTATCAGTTATCTAAGGCCATAATTCTGTGTAACCACCACCCACAAAACTTTAATGGCATATAGTAATAAGCAATAAAATGTGAGTTTACTGCTGTCATGTCAAGAATCATTTGGACACTGGCTAGGTAGGTTTGCCGATCTGGCTGGGCTTGTAGTGAGCCTCGGGATGAGTTGTTTATTGGTGCCTGGGGCAAGTTGGTTCCACTCTCCATAGCTCTCACCCTGCAGGAGGCTGCCCATGCCATGGCATGGTAATGGTGGGGTACTTGAATGCAAATGGAAATACACCAAATGCTTTTTAAGCCTCCACTTGCTTCACATCTGCAAATGTCCACTGGCCAAAGCTATTTACCTTGGCAAACCCAGAGTCAAGGGGGCAGGACAGGTCACCTTGCCCAAGGTGAAAGAGCTAAAGAATAGAGGCCGATTATACCATCAATCTAATATAATAAATATTTGAAGAAATGATTTGAAAGTGCCTAACACACAGCAAGGTATCAAAACAGCAGTAATTCATAACTCTAATAACACTAATCTGATAAGCTTTGAAGTTTGTTAAAGGGTTAACCCAAAGGAAGGTACCATTCGTGCCTTTGACCAATCATGACTTTTTATTTCTGTTGCTGTTTTTCTTGAAGTTTCTAAAGGGTGTTGGCTGGATGGAGTGTCACTTCTTATTTTAAAAAGGAATAGAGTTGCACAGGTCATAGAGGGAACCGAAGAAACAGCTCCTCAGAACCAAGGTCACAATAGGGCCCTTTGCACTTGGCTGTAGGAATCCTTTTCTCAGCAAATTCCCTCGACACCTTTCACACCCTGGCTCTGCTCCTTTGTTTTAATCTAGTGGGGCAGGGACCTGGGCCTCATGTGCAGGCACTACTTAAAATATTCCTTTGCATGACTCCCAGACCATAGGACAGAAGCAGGTCCCCTCAAGCCCGAGTGTGGCCCACCACCTCTTAGCTCTAGAGTGCTGGCTGTGGAGCAACAGGGCCCCCAAACTGTAGTTTCTTTCACTGGCTTGAAGAATCTGGTTCTCAGGGGTGTGTGTGTGTCTCTCTGAGAGCTGCCACTGTGTGTGACGACGGATGATGACAGGTTGGTTTAATGCAGCTCTTGCCAAGATTAAGGGCTTGTCAGACAAGTATCACGGGAGACTGAGGGATTGCTCTGGAAAGTCACTCTGAATTGCTAACTAACAGAGCTGGTGCTTGGGTGGGGGTGGGCTTTCTCACATTTGATGAGCTGTAGAGAGGGATTTAGCAGAGCTGATTTCTGTCCTCCTTCTGAGCAGAGTAGGTGGGCCACTGGGATGCATCCGCTCTGGGGTTATGGGTTCCAGGAGAGTCTAGGTTGGGATATCAGAGCATCCATCAACCTTGTGGAAACTGCTTGCAAAGATACATGCTCCTAAACATGACTCCCTCCCTGCCCAGGAAGAGGAGCCATAGCTTTTACCAGAATCCCAAGGGTTTGTGACTCCTGAACACTGGGTACCCTTTCTGCTCCATTTTAATCAGTGCTGTAGGCAGGGCTTCTGAAGGCAACTTTCAAGATTTTCATCTGGACAGTAAAAGTGGTAAGCTATCATTAAAGAATTTTAAAAAGTCAGGTGATATTAGTAGGCCTGATTTTCTAAACACTTATTCTATCTATAGGATTGCTACAAAAATGATAGATCTATAGCTACTTTCTCTTATTGATGCATTCCATAAATATTTATGTTGAATGCCTAGCCTGCATAGGAAAACTCTGGGTAGAAAGCCTGACCTCATGGAGGATAAACAACAGAGGGGAGAGCCTGAAGACTTTTAGTACAGCCCCGAATTCCAGCATAGCATAAAAAGCGTTGTTTGGTTAACCATTTATTTGTTAATTTAATAAAGGCTTACTGAGCTCCTACCATGTACCAGGTCCTGTGCTATGTCATGGGGATTATCAGTGAATTTTAGACAGGCATTGTCTCTGCCTTCATTGAATTCACATTCAAATGGGCCAGATAGGTGAATGAGCTGTATATGACATACTGTGACAGCCACTAAGAGAAGGAATGTATGAGGTTCAGAAATCTGAGCTTCTCCCTATCGGGTAGAAAGATTAGGCACAAAAAATGTAAGGAAACATGGCAGAGGTGACGGTGTATTCACTAGATTTTTCTCTTTGTGGACATGTAGGAAATTATGTTTCCCAGCATCACTTGCAGTTAAGTTGGGGCCATGTGACCAAGTCTGTCCAATGGAATGTGGGCATGAGTGATATACATTCTTTCTAGGACTGAGCCTTCCATCTTCACAGGTGATCCTCTAGCCCTCTCCTTCCCTGCTATGGGGACCACATGTTCCAGATGGTACAGCAACAAGATAGAGGAGGGCTGCCTAAGTCCTGTGCATGGTGCTGTGAATGAGAAATAAACTTGTGCTGTGCTAAGATTTAGGTGTTATCTGTTTTAGCAACTAGAGTTCATAATACAGTTGATAGCATTTACAAGTCCTGTGTAAATGTCAAAATAACTTACACTACTCAATTTTAATTACTCTCTTGGCCATTGTCACAGTCCCCTAATTTCTCTCATTTTACATCTTTTATTTGCAAGTGACAGAATTGCACTCAAATAAGGTCTAGCAAAAAAGGGAAACTATTTTTCTTGGGGGTGAATGTGGGATTTGAGTTGAGGATTCTTTGGTCCCAGTTGCTAGATCTTATTCTGAGGTCATGTTTCCTTTCATCTCTTAGCTTTTCTTCTTTTCGGTTGATCTATTCTGCACGCACACCCTCTCCAGACGGTGGCTCTTTACTGCCCTAAGCTCATGTCCTAAGGAGATATCTGAGACAACTTTTTTTTTTCAATGATTCCAGTAAATCTCTGGCAATTGCTTTTCTTATAATAATAAAGTCAATTGCCCATCCCTGAATCCATCAGTCACCGTGTGGTTATTTGATCAGGTGTAGATCACAGACTCATCCAGGAAGATTGGAGGTGTGACAGCCCATTGAGAGGGTATATAAATGCTCCTTGAAAGGAAACTGGAGGGGTAGAAGCCAAAGGGGTAATAGATGTCCATTTGGGTCAATATCTTGTGTTAGTGGGGGTTCTCCAGAGAGAACCTACAGGATGGATGGATGAATGGATAAACAGATGAGAAGGAACTTATTAGGAAAATGGCTTGTGTGATTATGGAGACTGAAAAGTCTCATGATGGACCATCTGCAAGCTGGAGAACTAGGGGTGCTAGTAGTGAAGCTCAGTTAAATCTGAAAACCTCAGAACCAAGGAAACAGGTGGTGTCAGTCTGAGGCTGGTTGTGGGAGGCTGTTGATACTAGTTTCTGAGTCCAAAGTGTAAAGGCCCTGGATTTCTGATGTTCAAGTACAGAAGAAGGCTGTCCCAGCTCCATAGGTGCAAAGGAGAAATTTCTTTCTTCTGCCTTTTCATGTTCTGCTGGCCCTCCACAAGTTGGTGGTGCTCACTCATATTAGGTGAGGATGGATCTTCTTTACTAAGTCCATCAATTCAAATGCCAATCTCTTCCAGAAATGTCTCGCAGGCATATCTAGAAATAATGCTCTGCCATCTCTCTGGATATCCCTCAATCCATCTAGTTTTAAACATCATAATACTATTTAGCAAGGGCTTGTAATATGTAAGAGACAGTGCCAAGGACTTTTTATATATTATCTCACTTATACCTCCCTATATCTTACTTATATCTACCTAGGAGGTAGATTCAGTTATCTATGGAGTAACAGCAGTGATATCATTAGTTATTTTATGTAATGTGAATTTGGTATAAATTAATACACTCACACATATTTTAGCATAAACTGATTGCAGGGGTGACCATTTTCAATGATAATATAATTTCTCTTGTAATAAACAACGAAATTCCAAGAGGAAGAATTGTCTGGCATAAAAACATTCTTGCTTTGGTGATTGAGGCCATTCTAACAAACAACAAGAAATATGGGGTTTACACTGTATTTATTCGTGGAAAGATATTCATATAACTCTGTTCCAGTGTCATCGATATAGCCATAATTCATGATCCTGACAACTTTGCAATGCATTCTGTGTTGTCTCACCATCGAAGGAACCTGAATTTGAAGCGGAAGCTGCCAAGACAAAAATAAAAACCGTAAATCACATATATTCAAATTCTCTCTACTGTTCTGACACATACACCCTTAACATTTCAGGTTTGGAGGAAGATCCTTCTCTTGAACACCTCGTAATTCTCCCTCCCATTTGGACTTTGGCTTTCAAATGGTTTTGCACGTGTTGAAGCTGTTCATAGCTCCTGGAGAGAGTTGGGGAAATGGTCAGGGAGGGTCAATCAGTAAACTCTTGGAGAGATGGGGAATAACTGGGGGCCCATTTAGCAAATGCATAAGAAGAAAAAGTGCAAATAGGGCAGCTTTCTCTCATCCACAAGCAAGGAGATATCTGAAGGGCATTCTGCCCTTAGGTGTTTGCCACAAATGCATGCTCTGGTTTCCTGTTTGGAGAATTGAGTTCAGTGACACTTTGATTAATGCAATTCCTATTTTCACAGAAAGAGCAGTGGCTTATAGTTGGGCCCATATATTAGATGCTTTCCTTAGCTCAGCCTCAGAATTCCAGCATCAGGCTAATGCTGTTTATGGCAAAGATGGATAGGTGCCCACCCAAAAGTTGTTAACCTCTTTCCATAGTATGCAGCTAGCATTGAGAGTCAGTAGCCCAGCTAGGGACTTCATGTCACATGTGGCCTTGCATCTACATGTGGCCACATGCCTAGTTCTTTAACAGAATGCGAGACAGACTTTGGTAGCACAGGGTTTCCCAAGAAGTCTCTGTGCCTTTTCTGCATTCTCTTTTCCTATCTACTGGCCAAACGTAGAGGCCTCTAAGGCTTTAGAGGGTGCTATAGAGTTACAAGATGGAAGTTACCCAAGTCCTAAATCACAACATGGGACAAAGTGCCCTCTAACTAGGAAAGTTCACCGTTGATTTTTACAGGAAAAATAAAGTTGTATTGTGTAAGGCTACTGAAATCTTATGGTTTGTTGGGAATAGCAGTGAACTTATTATAGTTAATGCATCTCTAATCTACAAACTAGTGGCTAATTCTTATGACTATTTTTTTTTCATCAGCAAACAAAGATGTTTATATGATAGTTGTTATTCTATCATGATTTGCTTGAAATTCAGTGCTTCAAACAATCCCGAGTCTGTTTTACAATAAACAGAAACCATTAAGCATAATTTAATATTCTTTTGATATGACAGACACTAACCACTAATGGAAGACTGTTGAATAAACAGATATAACCTAGGGCACAACTCTAGGAAGCCCTGTGTCCAAGTTTGTTGGTACTTAATAGACAGTGTCTGGACATTAATCTGAGTCTTCACATATGCAAAAATAATTAAAATTCTGTTACTGCAAATTTCATAGATATTTGCAATTATTTTGCTATGCTGAATTTGCATGATATGTTAGTGAAACAGTCTATTAAATGTTTATAGAGGACCTACTATGTGCATATCACTGTGTTTGATTCTCATTCATTAACAATTTTTAGGCCCCTATGATGTGGCAATCACTGTCTTTTCTCCCATTGTCCCTTTCTTCAAAGACATTTACTGATATCTCCCACTGGTCAGAGATGGTGCTCAGACAGTATTGAAAAATATGGCTACCATATCAACAAAGAACTGTCACACCAAGAACATTTTAAAGTTGTGATAAGATAACATACAGTTTTGAAAATGAGTGTGCTTTCAGGCGCATTTTGTCATTCTTTTTACACCATGGAGAGGTCATCCGGTTTCTTCTAGATGTATGTGAGGAGCCATGTCCTGCTGGGATCCCACAGGCCTGTCTTTGTTACCTCTGTAGGACAGAGATTCCTTTTTCTTGTCTGTGTGAATTACTAGCAAGAGTTTTAAAACCTGTTTGCATTTCACATATCTGCTTTTATTTTTCTTTTTTGTAAAGCTAGTCATGATGCAAACTTGCAGGATGGGGGGTTCATGTCAGGGGGTTGGACATTAGAATCCTAGTCCCTCATTGCCCCTCTGGATTCCATAATCTCGTCCCAGACTTGTGGACCCTGGAAGCATTTCTCATTCTAGAACTGCACCATCCATTGAGGTAGCTACTAGCCACATGTGGTGACTGAGATTTGAATTTAAATTAATTAAAGTAAATGAAAGTTAAACATGCAGTCTCTCAGTTTCCCTAGCCCTTTTCAACTGCTCAGTAGCTATATGTGGCCATCACGGGGCTCCTGCATTTGACAGCACAAATGTCACACTTGCATTATTGCAGAAAGTTCTATTGGCCAGTGCTACTCGAAACTAGTGAGAATTTGGAGGGTGAATTTGTTTAGAAGGAAGAGCAGGGAAATCTGTGAATAGTAATGGGGCTTCAGCATCTAGGCTGTGATTTATTTTTCACTTGTCTCTTGCAAGGCCTTAGCTCAGGAATCTCCTTGTGCATTTAATACAGAGACGCTCAGGAATGCTTGTTGAGAAAATGAAGGAAGCATTGTTATCAGGATTATTTGGAAAAGGGAACAGCACAGAGTGGGACTCAAGCATTGCCTGAAGTCCTTCTTGTCCTTGTATGCTAAGGACTGGTCCTAGAGATGGAGTCAAATGGTTTCGGGGAAGGGAGGGGAGACAGACTGAAAACTAGGCAAGGTTTGACATTATCTGAATTTTCATGAGTGTACCAGGTGTCTGGCTAATCTGAGAAATTATTATTATGGTATTTTAATTTTTTTGCACTAGAGATTAAACTGAGGGCCTTTTGAATGCTAGACAGGAGCTCTACCACTGAGCTATGACCCCCTAGACCTAAGTTATTCTAAATGACATCCTGAGTAAACTATTTCAGGACCTGTGCTTTGTACATAGCAGGTACTTAATTGTTGATTGAAACAATTTATTAATGTTATATTTATGTGTTTATTTCCTATACCCAGCCCTGCCATCCACCCTTCCCCTTCTCAAGAGAGCACAAACTCCCTGAAGTTAAGCATTTTGTCGATTTTGCTTATTGCTGCATCTACATCTGAAAATAGTGCTTACTGTGTTTTGGTAAATATTTCTGGAATAAATGAAGAATGTTTAATAACTTATCTAAAAGAACTGCATAAATTTTAGAAACTCTAATGTGATGGAAAAAATATTGGGGAGACAAGAAAGATTATTGAGGGCTTTCAATCTCTTAGAAGGAATCACTGACTTTGCCTATGCATAGGGCTTGGCCAGCCCCAGTAAATGATGTGCCTCAATTTGAAATTTAAATCCCCATAGGACCCTAGGTGCATACAAGGCATAATACTAAATGGCTGATAACTTATGACATTTATTTCCCCACATGAAGAACCACAGGGCAGCATCTCTTGTCAGGAAGGAAACAGATTTGTCAGAAAGGAAA